GTTTGAGTTTTGATTTTAAAATTATATTGTTGGCAAACGTCAGACTGGCTCAATGGTTTTACCTTGTTATGTTTTTATCATGACGCAATAATTAAAGGTGATATACGTAGTGACAGCTCGTTTCGACGACTCCCTTAGCTCAAGGTTGTATTTTGGAAGCATACGAAGCACGAGAGAAAAGGAAGAAAAAAAGGCCGCTTTGCGAAATAGTACTAAATATAGTACGCATTTTCGTATCAAAGTATAAATTGAAAATTTGTATACTAAGTTAATAAGACTAAATGATTTCCATATATTTTGGAATACTTTTAAGTAAATGTTTATTAAATTTAGCATTAGTTGCTGCATCAGAATATAATAATAAAATTAGAATAAGACGAATATTTTATGATTTTTTAATTAATTTATTCAGTCTTTTAATTCGAAAATGCATTCTGCACTTAAAAAATATTTTTTGGCATCAACTTCGCAGTCACAACCTTCGCTTTTTTTTAATAGGTTTTCAATGAATTTATTCTGCGTTTCTGAATTGGTAAACAATTTTTTCTAACTGCTTTATTTTTTTCAAGAACTCACTCGAAGGCTTAATCAAAGCGCCCCTTGAGACTTCGTCCATCCATGTATAGGAACTCTCCTGGCTTATATGGTGGGAGAGTCCTAATTTTCTTATTATGTAGCCTGCTACATATTCCAACCTATCTTCGTCTAAAGCTTCGATTTCATCTAACTGAGATGGTTCTTCAAGGCTAGAATTGCCATCTTCATCATCAGTGGCCTCATTACAAAACAATGATTCGTTATCCAGGTCATAGTTAAGCCATTGAGTATCATCTTCCTCAACATTGCCGCGTATCACTAAGGTTTCTGTGTTTCGTGCTATAAATATGTATAATTGAAATATGCTACCAGTAAATAAGACGTGTGGATTTTTAACCAATAAATATCTTCGCAGTCTGTACTTGAACTGCATAGCTGTTGGATGGTCGTGCAAACCCCCTCTGGCACGCATAGCCCCAAAAAAATGCTCCACAATGTCTTGGTTTAAACGGTACGTCAAGATGTATTGCATACCATACACTTCCTTGACGTACCAATATAAGTCCCGTAAAGAATTATTTGTGGTAAGAATGACTTTCTGAAAAGGCAGCAAAGTAGTGTTTTTGCCAAAGCGCATCTCCTTCACGCATTCGTCCATTTCGGAGAGAATTTTCAACTGCTCCTCGTATTGCATTCCAAAAGGTCTTTTGGAGGGAAAGAACTGAATGGTCGAAAACTTCGTGTTCAAAAGATCGAACCATTCATTTATTTTATCTATAAAACTTGCTGTTTCAACGGCTTTGTACACGTTTAGCCCTAGCGCATAGCATCGTCGAATGGCACTGGCCGTGCTGTGCGAAAATAATTGCGCTGCTAACTTTACTTTTTGGCGGCCCGCGTGGTGCACTGTGATGTGGACTTCGGAAAGCTTGTGTACAATAGAAACGACGGACACTGATGTGTGAGTTATGAGATCAGCTATGGTCCGAGATGTCAGGTGGTCGCCTCGCAGCTTTACCCCGCCGTCATTGAAATGATTACGGATGAGTTTAAGCAGATGTGGTGCATCAGCGAAGACAAAAACTTTTCCACCACTCACCGGATTTGTAAACCACGTTTTGTCTAATTGAAATACAAATCTAGGTTACTTAAAATGCAAGTTTTATACCAAATTATTCAATGTACTAGTTGAAATATCCAGCTCCTTCCAAAGAGCTAGATTTCCTGATCCCATGTCTGAAACGACCCCAACAACTGGATACCCTGCTTCGTCGAGGATAGCAATTAGGTTGTGCAAAATAGCTTTAGACATCTTACAATCGTACGCGCAAAACACAGGCTGCTTCCAGGAACGCTTGAGGCCTCGAGCAATTATCATTTAGATGTAATTGCTCGGCATTCTAACTGTGTCTGTTAGTGAGTCGTACTCGTATGCTGGCTCCACTTGCATCTCATCGAATGCTAGGATGCATAACTTGTCTTCCGTATCCATGTCATTAACGCTACGCATTGCCCCAATCGAAAAATTTAAAACACCGTCCTCGAATTTCACTTTCTGTACCCATTTCGCTACTGTTGACTCGCTTGGAAGAGGATAACCACTTTTCAGCAAATGCGCATCGGCTTTGGGTCCAGCCGCATGGAGAGCTATAGCCGACGACATGTCTTTCCAAGTCCAATGTATAGTCCTGGACGGGTTTTCAATTTTTCTCATTTGGCCTTCCGTAAAATATGCTTGAAGATTTTTTCGTAGCTTCTGCAGTTCTTCTATTTGCCTTTCCAAGCTTCTTAACTCAGCTTCAAGCATTGTTTCGCGGTTCACAATGGTTCTAAATAGGATACACGTATTAATAACAATTATTTATAACATATTGTTAAATTACTCTGTCTGGGTTGATGCGTCGACGAATTGTGGCTCATTATAGATTAGATCTATTGGCATTGGAACTGCATCGCCGCACAACTTAACGCGTTTTTGATCGGAGCCAGACAAGAAATCAGCAGGAGAGAAATGCAAACCGCATATTTTTGCCTCGGGTGCTAACTCCACCCCGCAAGCTTCCGCCCAATTTTTTCTTTTCATTTCATTTTTTGGAACATGGTACATCTTTACGCCTTCAAGCTTCCATGTCTTATGACATCAGGCACAACTTGCTTTAGGCATCTTGAGAAAATTAAAACGCAATTAAATTTAGAAGTCTACTTTTACACAATAAAAATCATGAACATGAAAATCATCATGAAAAATAAATTCCTTGAAAAAACATCTTCATTGGTTTAATTAAAATCATCTCTTTATTTGCATAAATAAATTATTTTAAAATTATTTAATTTAAGTTTTTAGTCCCATTTTTACTCGAATCTTAAAAATTAATTAGTTTAATATTGTTTTTTTTTTATTCTTAGAAATTATTTTTGGTTTCTTAATTAGTTAGCCTTATCATGAATTTTCATTCCATAGTAATATCACAAAGTGAACCATTTTGGTGAACGAATTTTTTCGTTGGTGAAATTTTTGACCAGAATATTCATGATAAGTCTGATTTTGATTACTTTAACAGCGCAGTTATGCTTACTTAGCAATAACTAATAATAACTAATGTTAATGAAAAAATTTTAATGCATTAAAATGTTGAATAATTTTGTTCGTTTGCATTAATAAAAACCATTAATTCATTTTCTAGTGAAATATAAATAACCTCTTTTGGAAGGACTTCGAACAAAGAATTTTTACTTCAAAATAAAATTAGTTAATGGGTTTTTAATGCTTTTTGTACTGTTAATGCAATAAATTATTGCAATAGCATTAATTTAAACATTCTAATGTTAATGCATAAAAAAATTCATTAGCATTATTTCTTCGGGATTAATGCATTTAAATTTTCATTAACATTGAATTTCAAAAATTAATGCATTAATTTTTTACATTAACATTAAAATGCTATGCATTAAAAAATTAATGCATTTTTCACAACTCTGGTTTGTAGTATGAACCATATTTTTGTACAAAATTAGTAAACAAATTATAGTTTGCAAATCATTTTGAATATTTAAAAAAACAAGGGTGGATGTACGCAGATATAATGGAGTGCAATGCAGTGCAATGTATGCATAAATGATCTATAACTCTTTAGAAGGCTTGTAATCATAAAGGTTAACTTACGTCGAAAATACGCCGGTGGTGCAAAGATGGCTCTAAAGTAGATTATGGTAAGCTGATAGTGCAGCGACAGAAATGTACAAGCCAGATGAACAAAGGAACACGAAGCAGTCGAAAACCTGTGAAATAATTCCATT